ATACCAGCCTAACATGGCCTCGGCTTTGGGATGCCTTGCTCTATGATGAATGAATCAAGAAGGAGCCTCGACTCAAACCCTCAAGTGTGGCTGAGGTCTTGTCCGATCATCGCTGCCCTGAAATGGCACCGTGTAGCCTCCCAGCGCGAACCCATGTAAACTTCCGATGAAGCAAATCGTCGGCAACCTTCAGTACTTGAATCCCATTCTGCAGCCGGGAGCTCTCTACACAATGCGAAAACACAAACGTGCATCTATCCCACAGGACTGCAAACCTTAATTTCGAACGGGTGCTGCTACTAGTGGCTTGTGCTCCTCTCTTGTTGCTGGTTGCTGGAATCGAAACCGCGGGCAAGCAAAGGCTTGGTAAGTTTCCCTTCGTGCCAAAGTGTAGAGTCCCCAGCATAAGCGATCTACTACACTCCGCTCGTTGAGCTGCTGCTACCCGCTACTTGGATCTCGTTGCATTCTTCCCTGAGGCAGACTGTCAACACACATCTGTGCTTTTGCAACGTGTGCCTGTGCCGTCGGCGGATGCAGATGCCTGCATGGTTCCAAGCCCGCAGATCCAATGTTTGGGTTCGTGAAGCGACCGAGCAGGAAGTAAAGAATAAAGGGCTAACATAATCACCCGAAGCCGACCCCAGATCCATCGAGCAGCACTGGCACCTGCCCCGCGTTTGACGCAGCTGAAGAGGCTGGGTCGGAGATGACGTTCTGGGGCAGGAAGCGCTCCTGTTCTGGCACTTCAGCTCGAGAATCTGGATCGCAGTGTCGTTTCGAAGGTCTTTATCGTATACCCAGGATTTTCTTGGATGTTTTGGATTGTGTGTGCACCCTCTGGATTTAAGGTCTTATTGGAATTTGGGTTGTTGACCCTTGGGGTTGGCTGGCTACTTGGGGCTTCCAGACAAATGCTTGCTTGAGAGCAGCGATGTGCAAACATGCGGAGCAGTGCACACTGGGCAAAGATCGCACCTTGCAACAGAGCAAGCAATGTCTTCCACAGCTTCGACACGGCAGACAGGGCCGGCAGACAGGGCCAGCATGATTACACCAACTCATGTGCAAATTCAGGTGTGTGTGTGTGTGTGCTCACGCATTTGCTCATCTTTGCACGCTGGACCGAGCGAGAACGAGCGAGAGAGAGGGAGAGGGTGCAAAATTCCGCGACGCAATTCTAGCAGTCTGAATCAATCTAAATCAATCACTTTACCCAGCAACACACAGTCAAGCAGACAATCCTTTGTGCGACCAAGCCAGTCCTTGTCCAGCCTTGAGCCAATGCCATTAATGCAACATGTTCCTTGGGTGCATTCCAGGCATGGTAATTTGACACAGTCCCTTGATCCCGACTTTAGTCGAGGATCCTTCAAACAAGTGCATAGCAGCATTCGCGAACCGATCATGAAGCATGCGAAAAACAATCCCCAAACTGCTTCAGGCTACATTGGACTCAGTCGGGACAGTTTTGGCTCGACTCGGATCACATTTCAATCATTGCACAAGGCCGAGGCGCATTGCACTGTACAGGCAGCAGGCAATCGCTCGCAGTCGGGTGTCGTGCCATTTGACATTGAATCCGAGAGCTTCAGTCTCTGCCATCCGCAGAAAACATCCAGTCAACATTTCAAAGCTCACTTCAGTCAACCAAAACACACGGCATCACTTTGGATTAAATTCATTCGATGGCTCACTCGGCGGCCTCACTTCATGCCTTTGTCATTCATGCGCAGGACAATCTCCGCTCCGGGCTGCAATGAATCCGCAACTTGGTCGATGGCAATCGTGTGGGACGATCTTCGTCCGGGGTGGGGCAGTCCTACTCCAATCCGCCGCCATGCATTTGCTCAGTCGCCACTCCACCAGGTTGATGCCATTCAGGGTTGCCCGGCGAGACAATTCGATCGCCGATCGCTTCATCAAGGCACAACAGGCACTTCGGGGAGAACACAATCATGTTGTCATTCAAGGGCACTCAAAATATACCCATGCTGGCAATCGACTCGTCCGGCATGCAGAGTCCAAAGCCAACTCCCATAGCCGTTCCCTCAAAGGTTGAAATATGATCAGTGAGTTGCCGATTGAAATAATTCGACATTTTCATTCGCTGGGTCCTGGAGTTGTTCATGACCCAGGCTTCTCATTGCCGCATTCCTGGTCGCGCGAAAGACCACGAAGCAGATGGGCTCCTCAGTCTCATTCGGCTGGTACACATTCTGGGCAAGCATACCCAGTCATACATTTAGACCTGGTTCTCAATGACATTCTCCTTGGCACAGGTGGCACATTTCCATGTGATGTGCCAGGTCCCCCTACCAGGCAGTCATGAGAGCATTCGGTTCATTCTGGACCGGGGTGATTCCCACTGAAGACATTGGCAATCTCAACGAGGACATGGGCCCATTGCTGTTCTCGTTAGAATGCTCAGTGCGAGTCCCCCGGATGATCAGTGACCGCAGTGGGGCAGTGTCGTCGTAGGTCGCACTGCACTAAGGCAGTAAGGAACGATCAGAGAAAACATTTCGGAGGGGAAACACATTGATCTCAAATCCGCAACACAGGTGTCTCAGACAGTGCCTGGCATTACGACACTATACATGATCACCTCTCCCACAGTCTCTCACACCCTTCAAAAGTCATACTAATTCCTCTCAGATTCAAAGGGAATCCTTCAATTTCACTTCCAATTCAGTTCAAGTTCGGTGCAAACTCAGAAAAACCGGGCAAATATCGGCGAACGTCCGGGCGATCTCCATTCGGAGTTTGGGAGAATTTCGGCACAATCCTACAATCCCTTCGGGATTAACTGGGGCACACTTCACTACACTAGATCGGAGAAAACATGTCGCTCTCGCTCTCTAACTCTGGCACTCTCGCTCTTTGGTTTTGGGCTTTCAGGGAAACCAACAGTGCACATGACAGTTATGACATGCAGTCGCACGGTACATTGCACAAGACAGCAAACTGCATTGCCATGTGACATGCATTCACTCAAGGACATGCAATCATTGCAATCGGCGCAACTCACTCGAACAGTCCCTCGGCGTGGGCTTCAGTCCAACGGCGTCCTGGGATGCATTGCGCACAGTGCATGCAATTCCAGGGAGGGTGCATGCGAAGGTGGGCACGGGCGGGGTTGTCGGGGGCATTAAGGGCCCAAGGGCGGCACCATGATCGTCAGTAAGATAAGGAGCATCAGCATCGGCATTGCTCTGAACCACTTTGAAACCTTGCCAGTTGGGTCTTCAATCTTTGTAGCACATGAGTGGCAACATATTTGGTCATTGGATCGGGGGGGAATTCCGCGTGCCGTCAATCTTGGCCATTCTCAGCAGACCCATTTGCTCAAGATTCTGCACATGCAAGAGGCGCAGTTCAACATGCTTCGTCTTCTTGCGAGTGCCGAAGCAGGTTGCCGGTGACTTAGCGGCAGTAGAGGCAGCAGAGTCCGTGTGGGCAAGCACACTGACTTTCTTTGCCAGCTTGGCTTCCAGCAACATTGACCGAAGGAACATGCAGTGCTTCCGACACTCCTTGGCCAATCGCATAGACCTCTGCTTCGTCAGACGACAAGGCCAGTGGGCCTTGAGTCCTCGCAGTGCTCACCATGTTGCACCCAAGGGCATTCACAGTGGATCCGTTGGTGATCTTGCGTGTTTCGGGGCATCCAGCCCCGTCGGAGTCCACATAGACATTCACACCCAGAGCACCTTTGCATCGTCGCATAGGCAATGTCGGTTCTGATCAGTGCCACGCACAACAGTTTGCCAACAGCAGTCCTGTACACGAGTGCTCTTCAGGACTCAGTGGCATGTCAGACACAGCCTTGACAATCATCACGGTACCAGTCGTCGCAACCGCTTGGCAATCTTCATGTCATACAGATCAAGAGTCGAACCAATGTATGTTTGCGAATGCACACATCAATCGAATCGTTGTTGTGTCGAGGTCTCCTTCCAAGGAAGGTGTGCTCAGTCCCGTGCACAAGATGTCCAGTCTCTTGGAGCAACACTTCCTCCGACAGTTGGGACATGAACGAATTCCTCATCCCGTTAGTTCCTACGACCAACACATCATCGACATATGTAAACACATATAGAGTTTGCCAGATTCATGGCAATACAGATTCGGATCACTCTTACATCTCCTGAATCCCAATTTCGAGGTCGTTACCTCGGCGAAATGGTCCTGCCACAGTTTGGGCGGTGTCTCAGTCCGTACATGGCCTTCTTCAGTTTCCAGAGGCATTTAGCCTTCTGAATAGAATTCTTTAGGTGCCAAGCGAACACTTCGCCGACATGGGAAGGCAGTGCTGATATCACCGAGGGTGATGCGCCCGTTTCTTGCCGTTGCCATGCAAACCACAATCTCGATATGACAAGCGAGGGTGTGGACGCAAACAACCATGTCCTTTGCCTTGTCCTTTCATTCCTTTATCTTTTTCCTTTGCCCTCGTACATTCCTTTGCCTTTGTATCCTTTTCTTTTCCTCCCTTCAGTGCTCCTACGTCCATGTCGGCTTGACCTTGGTGGTCCACTCGACGACTCGGCACAGTCAGATGTCTGCTCTTTATGTAGCTGTACACAATCTCAAGCGCCTCAGTGAACGTGGTTATGCTACGAACATTCAACCGCGAGTGCTGCTGCAATGGACCAACAGTCTTCTGCATTAGCAACGTGATCAAGAGGTCATTGCCCAGTGGTCTACCAGTCGTCTTCTCATGTCTGTTCTTCAAAATCTTCAAGATCATGAACTCACTCAAGTCACTCTCGAGATGATCATTCCTGAGCTTGAAGCCTCAGGCATTGAAAACTGCTTCTGCAATCGTCTCCAAATCTCGAAGCCATTCTCTGTGTCCGCATTTCACACCACCGCCCTTGCGACGCCATCAGTGATTTGCGCCAGCATATAAGCCAGTTGTCGTGAGAACAATGGGACTTGATTTGTTTGAGAACGCGTTTGCCGTATATCAAATGCTTCACTCGCCGCATCAGTGATCACAGTGTTGGCTCTTCCACGCCATCCATCATCAGTTTGACGCCGGGCTTGTACAGTCCGACATATCGCTTCAGCTGCCATGACCAATCTTCCCATTTCTCCAACTCCCCGTTATACATGGGAGGTGGAAACAGTTTGATCTCGCCACCTAGTCCTCGCACTCCGACGTCCATTCTCTTTCACTCTTTCCCTGGTTCTGAGCCGAAGCTCCACTACCATGCAAAATTCCACCATACAATCGTAGCAGTCTAGAGCAACCTAGATCCGTCACTTTCCCCAGAAACACACAGTCAAGCAACTTTCCTTCGTGCGACCAACTGAGTCCTTGTGTAGTCTTGAGCCAAAGCCATTCGGCATCAGAGCATTCGTTAATGCATCATGTTCATTGGGGCATTCCAGGGATGGTAATATTTAACACAGAGCGAGAGCGAGAGAGAGAGAGAGAGAGCCAGCGAGCGGGACAGAGAGAGAGGCAAGATGGGCTCTGACTGATCTCACTGGATGTTGGCATGACCACCCCGTGAGCTGTGCGCCTGCTGAGAGGCATCCGAGAAAGTCGACCTGCATCCACGAAAGGAATGAAATCACTGAACACCGAAGATGGCCAACATGAAACTTTGGATGAAGCATGCAAAACTGGGTGGGTTTATGACTCCTGCACTTCGATTGCCACGAAGGCTGGCCTCACCTTGCTAAGGCAAAACAGAAGGTGGCCCAACCCTGGTCTAGACTGTGAAGACCTCCCGGTCCGGACATGCGCGTGTCAAAACTGCTCGCAATAAGCACTGACCCTCCGCGTGCCACAACTGGGAATGACAGCTGCGTGCTACCAGTTTGCCGTATTTGGTGCAAGGGGAACCTGGAGAAGCAGCTAAGAAATCTTAGCCGCATGACCCAAGCAGAGCCTGGTGCTGCCTGTCGTGCCAATCCTTGACTTCGTAAGGCGCAAGATATGTCTGCACACCAGCAGCACTGTCCGCACACTCTGTTGATTGTTGGCTGCAGGGGCGGGCTTGGTAGCTTCTGCTCGGTGCCTGAACGGCCGTCAGGCTGAGATGTGAGCCCGAACGGCTGAATCTCCAAGACTGCAATCCCGGGCGCTTGAAAGACGAAACCCGGCAAAGGCTCTTAAGGACCAGGAACGTTGCTGCATCTCTTGACTACTCGGCAGCTGAGAGTCTGCACCGCTGCAACGAGAGGCCTGACATCGTGCAAGCCATGTAAACGTTCTCAGGTTGGGGTTTTGGGCTGAGGCTGTGATGTGTAAAATCTCGGGTTTAGAAGCCACTGAGGTGAGAACCTCCCCCGCATCCATCACTACAGTCACTACACGGACAGTTGAACCTCAAGAGTCTCAAGCCCAGGTCTCCGCTCCAACGGCATCCTCCCGTCCTCCCACCCTTCTCCCAGCAACCTCATTCTTTCAAGATCTAAGGAGAGCTTGGCGCTCGTGGGTTGAGGGCGTAGGCTAACGTTAACATTGTATTCTGTATACCAGGATGAATGAATGCCCCTGTGCCTTACGTGAAGCGAAGAAGAGCTCTAGAGGACTTTGGGGTTGCGGGGTTAGCAGTATAATCGACGAGCGCGAGCGTCGACCCCTCTACCGCGGCTACAACAGGCCGGTGTCGACCACGAAGGGCCAGTGGGGCTCATGACCTGGGCGGAGCGCTGCAAATACGCGCGACAGTGCTCGCACGCTCGCACCGGAGCCTCAGCCTTGTGAAGAGAGCCTTGTCGCGATGTCAAATCAAGCAGGTTCTGCATTCTCGGCCGGACGGTGTACTTTGAACGCTTCGGGTCGAGATCCGAGTACCCAGGAGGCCTTAGAACATCTGCGAACTCCTTCTAATCAATGGCTTTGATGAAACGGGTAGAAGGTGTCGACAAGCTTTCGGATTGAAACGTAACACGAGTAACATAGGAATCAAAACGATTTCGCGTCTTGTATCCTCGATGTCCCCATCTATGATGCTAGTAATCTGAAGTGTCCGGAAATCGTGGTCTGACGCCTTCGACACTTGAGGCCACAAGCACAGCCAAGCACCCAAACTGAACCCAGCTGCTGTTGGACTTAGCTCTCCACGTAGAAAGCGTTTGCATATGTGCATCGCGCCCGAACTATCCCAAGCAAGCCAATCGACAGGGCTCCGACGGCATTCCGCGCCAAGGGCACCCAAAAGCCATGCCTTGACAATTCGCGCTGGGCTACTCGGGCAGTCGGGTGGCATAATGCTGTATGAAATGCCGGCATGTTGAAGCAAGAGACTTGTGAGACATCATGCAGCCTGGATCTCGAACTCTGGATGTCCTGTTTTGCGCCGGAAAACTTCTGAAGATGCAATTTGGCAATATATGTATGAATGAGTGAGGCTGTCCAAGCGTGGTGCAGCAGAAGTGAGTTGAGCATGATTCCCCCTCTCGCATACGTACGCCTTCTCCCCCAATTGCAGGTACCCTTCTTCACTTGCTCTACAGCCAAAGTCTCCTAGTAGTCAATCCCCAGAGCCCAAAATGCCAGGGTGGCGGCTGGATAGGTGTTCCAGAACCCTGTGCAGGCGTGGCCGGAGTTCCGGTTCCTGGAGATACCTGTGTCACAGCTGGGCAGCCCAGAGTGCGGCAACTTTTTTCGAAGTTGGAAGCTGGAACTATGACCTGCAGCCTTGGGCGTCCCACGACGAAATCTACAGTTTCGGGCAGCTAGAGGTGCTCGGGGCCCATCGGGGCTTGGACTTTTCGACACATGCCGTATCCGCTGGCCGCAGTTAACCTGTCACTTGCTGTCTCTGCTCTCTGCTCTCTGGAAAAAAACCGACGCGTCCAGCAACTGGCCTGTCCGGAACCACAGCCCTGGGCGCCGTCAGAGGGTGCAGAAAGGACTGAGGGAGGGGAGACGTATTTCACGTGGTGACTGGGAAACACTTGATGGCTACGAATGCTGTGGGACAGCAAGGCTGAGCCGGCCACTGCCGACATGGTGGTTCCCCTGAAGAGAGAAAGCGCTTCTTTCGCAGCGGGTGCGAGTCAGGATCTGAATGCTGTTAACTTAACATCCAGTCACGCAGACTCGCAGGAAATCTGTCCTGCGGAGCACAAGGAGGGACCGACCTTCCTTGCCTACCTACCTACCTACCTACCTACCTACCTACCTACACAGACACACAGACACACAGACACACAGACAGACAGAAAGACACACAGACAGACAGACAGAAAAACAGACAGACAGGCAGACAGACAGGCAGACAGACAGGCAGGCAGGCAGGCAGACAGCCAGACAGCTAGACAGACAAACAGGCAGACACACAGACACAACACACAGACAGAGACACACAGACAGACACAGACACAGACACAGACACGGACACAGACACAAACACAGACAGACACAGACACAGACACAGACACAGACACAGACACAGACACAGACACAGACACAGACAGACACAATCCCGCCCCGCCTTCAACTCGCATCCTGCTGAATGCAGCGAGCAAATCAAACGTGATGCTGAATTATGTCCTTCGCCCTGGGAGAACCTGGGAGAACCCTCCAGAAAAGAAAGAACAGAAGAGCGACGACCAAGAGCCAGGAACCAGAAAGGCGACGCCTGACCTTGTCACCCCTTTGGTACGTCCCCGTAGCGCTTCCAACAGCCTCGCCGCCCCGGAGTTCGGCGAGCCACAGTTCGGCGATGCTGCCATGACGGGAACTGGGACCTCAAGGTAATCGGAGTGTCCGGCAGTGTTCAGGGCGGAGTGCAAGACATTATTGGGGTTTGGATTCCAGGTCCTGAGCCTCATGTCTATGAGCTCAGGCTTTAGGTTGCATGCAGCACATCACCAAGTTGGTAAGAACTGTAAGATCGCACCTCTTCGCCTTTCATCACAAGACCTGTAGAGCTCCTCTCCGCCGGACCTTTAGTCGGCGCAACACTCCTCTTCCTGTACGTGCGACACACGTAGAGCCACTGAAGCCGCAAAGCCCCAACTGTTGAACCACTTTCGCTACACCTTCAGTACATCTTATTGACATCGTCAAGGTTTGATGGGCTACCGGGTTGTGTCAGCGCGTGAGACCCGAATTCATTCTTACTGGGCCCCAGCTGCTGCTCATTGACTAACGCCAAAATACAGCCGAGCTCTTCGAGCAGCAGGACATCTCTAAATCCAACCCAAAGCACCTAATCTGCAACACCGTAAGGCTGTACACGACCCTGGAAACCCTCACAAATGGAGGTGCCATCAAGGACCGGGGCCCAGATCGGCACGGAGGACGTGCCCTGCGCCTCAGACAGAAGAGAGAATAACTTTCTTCAAGTCCTGTTGGGCTTGGCTTGACATAAGTAGCTCGATGGCTGGAGGCTGCAAGCTCACCTTGCGACCGGTGTCTAGAGAGGAGAGACCGCGGCCCAAACGAACCACTGCCAAGTGAAAGTGAAAGTCACCGGAAAGAAGTCAGCAACCGGCTCGATCCAGTCCGCAGCGTTCAACCAAATAAAATTTGTAAACCGGAAAACTAGACTGACTAAACATCCCACGAACCCTCATGCCTCCACAAACGAACCTCAACCTCATCTCTGCTCCTGGTGAGGACCACACATAGGGTCCTGCAAAGTAGAGGCGCTTCTTGAGCTCAGCATTCTCTACGCGAAGCCTTCGGTTCTCCTGGCAGATGATGATTCACATTTGAAAGCCTTCGACTGGCTGCTCACCACGGCGAAATCAAGAAAGAACGCCCAAAAGCCTCGAACCTTGAGTGCTTCTATTTCATATTCTTGTTGTTGTTGTTGTTGCTGCTGCTGCTGCTGCTGATGGTGTTGCTGTTGCTGCTTTTGTTTGTGGTTGTCGTTGTCGTTGCGGCCGCCGTCGTCGTCGTCGTCGTTGCGGCAGGGTTTTGTGTTAGTCTGCTGTCGCTTGCAGGGGACCCTCGGCCGTCGCGGCAGCTTTCTTGCCACTCACTTGTTGTTGACCCGTAGGCGCAGGGCTGAAGGCTCAAAGATGCGAGGGCGCTGAATCTCTGAGGGCTGAAGGATCGCAAACGTCGGGCTCCGCAGGGGTACGTTTTTTTTCTGCCGTACTCATCTGCTGGCCTGCAGGGGCCACAAACCCGAACATACCACACCTTGAGCATCCTGGAGCCAGCCTGCACAGTTTCCACAGCCCTCATTTACGTGGGCCTAGACCTCGAAAATCCTCGAAACCTCACACCCTGGCCGGGTACTGCGCTTGAAGATGGTTTACCGCAGTCCGGAGGACTGAGAAACCCTCCAAGCAAGCGTCCAATCAAGAACAAAGCATGCGCTTGCGAAGAGCCGCAACCCGGAAGCCCAGTCCTGCTTCAAGAACTCAGACCCAAACTGCAGTCTCTTCTTGAGCTCCTCGGCTCAAGGCCACGGGTTGAAGGCCAGAGCGGTTGGGGTGCAGCTCGGCAATATGCTCCTTTCTCTACCCTCGGACCTTCAGACACCTGCTGTCCCCTGAGTCCACAGCTGCATTCTCGATTCGAAGCCGCCGGCTCTCCTACACTTTGGCGTATGCATTTCTACTTGTCTGGCAGAAATGTTACTTTCAATCTTCGGTTTGGAAGCTTTGGAGGTTCTGCTGTGGTTGCAGAAACGCTCCAGATGTAAGACCACAGATCGAGCCACATCGAGCCCCATTCCATGACAAAACCAGAAGCAGATTGTGGGAGCATGTCGTAATTGCTACAACTGGTAATCGTGGAAGGTGATAATCCATGGCGCTCGTCTTGTCAATTGTGTCTTGAAGGGTGCGACCCTGCACCACCTTAAGCAACTCTAAACCCAAGACGGAATGCAAAGCGTCCACCAGCAGACTCGTACAGGTCCCAAAAGCAACCCAGTTGCCCCTGCGCTGCTCTCAGGCTCCATCTTCAGTCACAGCCTTCAGATTAATGGATAAGCCCTGCGAGAGTATCGAGTTGGCCAGACCTTCTCCAGAAGCTCCTGCCGCTTTGGATCAGGCCTCTGGTAGGATCAGGCAAGATGGCCAAAAGGACCGATTGTAGCTGCAGTATCGGATAGTGTTTGTGGGCTACGCAAACTAGGCCCCTTTCCAACAGAGTCTTCCAACGCCAGTACAGGCAGTGCTAGGATCCATCTGACACTCGCAGGATTGTTGGGGTCCGGCACTTCATCGCTTCCCGGGCTCTCCTGCATCCCGGCATATTCGATGCAGCAAATCAAACGGCCTTTTGGAGCATCGACTTGGCTTCGAGATCTACGGTGCAAACTGCGGGGCTTGCGTTTCAAAGCGATGGGCCAAGGACCTAGGCACGCGATTCAGTGGTTTCGTTTTCTAGGCCTGAGACGTCGAGGGAATGTAAACTCTGTTGCATGCAGCTGGGTTGAGGATTGCGCGTTAAGGAAAGCATGCGCAGTCCGTATTTCGTGCAGAAGTAGGCTTCCGTCAGTTTTGCCAAGGCTCTGAACTTGAAGTACCCAATGATTTATCTACCCCAGAGTACTAAGTTGCCAGTGTAATTTGTGGTTCATGGCACGGAGCGGAAGGACGGATCAAAGTCGCTCCTCGGAGATGCCAATCCCACCTGAGAGCGGTATTTAACTCGAACTAAGCACTGCCGCTGACGTCTGAACGGCTCTCTCGGGCGTTCCCTCATCTCCCCCTCCGTTCCCGGTTTTTCACCCCAAACGACACTCCAGTCATCCCGAGCCAGAACGTTCTGGACCCGGGGCATTGGCTCTTCGGTGAGCCTTCTCGGCCTCGTTGGGCCTCCGAGTTGGGGTCCAGTTGGGAGGTTGAAGGCCTAGGCCTAAGTTTCTGGGAAAAAGCTGCAGGCTTTGGATTTTAAAAAGTGGCGGGATTTCGGGCGCTGAGCGGCCTCACGTTGGGGGCGGAGGAGTGCATCGAGGGACGTTGCACGTGCAAATGTGTTCAGAACCGCTCATCAGCTGAAGACAACACCTCAATGAACCCAGGATCGGAAACAACCTGCCGGAAACCATGAGCTCCATGAGCCCAGACCTTTGGGGGCGTCGACGCACAGCTCGCAAGAGGCCTTCCGAAAGAGCTCAAAGGGCTTTGAACACCTGGGGTCTTGGCATTGGTTTTGCTAGAGAGCTCACGAATTCATTCTTGCACAGGTCGCAGTGGTTCTCCGTTCTTTCGCTGACTGTGTGGATGAGCTGTTAAGCTGCAGAGGAGCGAGACACTGCGACACTTCAGGAGCCTGCCTCGCAGCTGAGGGAGTAGCAGGCATCACTGCCGGGGACGCCGGGCAGCACAGGACCATGTCATTGTGCCTAAAGCGTAGGCAGGCTGGGGCCGTGAGCGCAATCGACCCCTGGAAAGCATGACAGAATCTAAACCTCTGCTTCAGTTGCGGTTCGGCGCAACTGCAAACTACTTGAAAGAACGCTGCGGCTTTGTATGTCGCTGCTGCGAACAGTGGCGCGAGGTTCTCTGCTAGTCTGACGGCACATATGAGAAGGTCCAGCGTAGCACAGCCACTCTCATATTCAAGTTAACACACGATCTTTGACTTTAACCGGGTAGGAACCATTCATTTCTTTCAAGCCTCTACTTCTGCCAAAGATTTAGCTGTTCAGTGACGGACCGATGATGCTCTATTCGGCTGAGTTGTCCAGCAAGTAAACTTTGCTGAAACAAGGTCTGAACAGGTGATCCTAGCTTCATCACTCGTGTCTGTGTCTCCAAAATGCCACACAGTCTTTGCAAGCATTCCCCTCAAACAGACTGATTCCAAGACAAGTGCCTTTGACTGGCAACCAGCATCAGCTGGTCCGCGAGAGCTTCGTCGATGGCGGAAGGAGGCAGCGCCTGGATGCAGACTGCAACAGTGTGCTGAAACACAATAGGCCAATAGGTGCTTTCAAGCCTCAGTGACCTCAAGTCAGACGACGGCAGTCTTTGTGTGTTGAGCAGCTACTTCACAGGCTTGCCCAATTCAGGAAGTCCGTTGAGGGGATTGCAGTTTCAGGTGCACGCTGCAGCACGAGTTCAGCTGATACCGGCAATACTGCCGGGTGCAGGTGGAGTGGCTGGAGTACTTTCTCTCATCGATGCGAATGTGCTGCTGGGAAGAGTTGCTTCTTTCCTTGGGTAGTGAGTAGTGTAATCGTAATCCAGCAGGAGCCAAAACGCAATTATGTAGCAGGTGCTGCCTCCCTTTCCTGAGTTCTAGAGCCACTGCCAAGAACTTGAAGGGAAGTCCAACCCAAAATCACTCTTGCCTTGTTCAGAACCAGCTCCCGCCGGCGAGCTCGCCTCGCGACCATTTTGCCCAGAGAACGCTCAAGAAATGACATGTGCGGCTGCTCGTTGCTTAGCAGCCGCCACAGTGCAGGGATGCGAGATGCGGAACTGGTTCAAGCTTCGAGACCGTTCCGTGATCTTGGAGCGAAGCAGTGAGTGTTTCAGTTGACCACATGCAAACAATCTAGACAACAAAGTCCACGAGTGTAAAGCCAAAAGGCTTGTGCGCCAAAGACACAGCCCATGCAAGGTGGCACTCCGGACCCCAAGAGGCAAGCGCAGCCTATGCGACAACGACACGTTGACACAACTGGGCCTTTAGCCTATCGCTAACCGTCAGACGTGTATGCGGCCACCCAGCAGTACCTTGTTTTCACACCTAGCTTGCGTTGAATGCTGTTCTCGTGGAACTCTTCTGGAAGTAGGATTCCTGACATGCGCAGGCACGTCCACAATTACACAGCCTTGCTTCCAGGTTTGTCGACCGCAGCGGGCCAACAAAAAAATCATGGAGCCTGAACCCCTTCGGTTGAGATCAACGATCCGATCACTCACCAGATCTCTCCACACACTCAGCTCAGGTGGCCGGCCATTTCAGCAGTTCGGCCAGGAAATGCTTCATCCTGGCGACCGCAGGACACTTCACTATGAAGTTGCACCGGCTTTCCAATCTTTCCATGGTGTAGCGATGCCCTTGACAGGCTCAGAGGCTCGGAGCATGCTGGAAGGCCGCAGGCAGTTCACTGACCAAAGCGCAAGCATGCCAGGCCCGCTTCCGCAAGTGAACGAACTGTCCTACCTTGGTGTGTTATGCTTGCTGCAGCGACGTATTTTGTGTTCACTAGATCCAACGTCTGACACCTGAAGTCAAATCTTCAGCCAAGAGCTTCTCTTGGTGCACCCGCAGTCAAACCCTGAGCTCAGCGCTTCGTTGAAGAAGCTCAACCCACGGTCCTGCACTCTCCCGGGCACGGCCCGGCAGGATATACGAATAAATGAGAGATGGACACCCAAAGCTTATGTCATCACAAACCAACACAAGCTAGAGCTTTACATCGGTCCTCGAAGGCAGGATCCCAGTACCGACTCCTGGAATTTTGGCACGAGGCGCTCCGGCTTTCGTGGGGACAAAGGGTTGCGGGGTCGAGGGAGAAGCGAGGTTGTTTGGGTCGAAGCATTACAGCCAGGCTGCGATGTTTAGTCCGGAACAACAACCTTGAAGGAAACCACACACCCAATGCGCCGCAAGATTCAACGTCCAGGCCGTAGGGCCGTAGGGATGAGGTGCAGGTTTGAGGGTGGCAAACAATGGCCTAAATAACCTTATGCCTGTCCATGATGCACAGCTTGAGCATTGGTCATCTCCAAGACATTGCTACTAGCATCTACTCTAATTAATTGCTTTACTGCTTTACTAGCTCACAGAGACAGAAAAAGGTGCCACTGAGCGGCCGATGGACACTTTGCCCTTTAGCTGCAAACCCGACCGGGCCAGAGGAAACCGTTCATAAGCCAAGGCACTAAACGAGCTTTGATTGCTACGTTCCCTCACCCTCAGTGCGCAACAGCCTCTGCAACTACACGCAGGCTGCATCCTGACCGGCAAACTCCAATCCTCACACCCCAGGCCCAAAATTGCTCCAAATATCAAACGCACTCACACCGACTCGCACAAAGCTGCGGCCTAGCATGACCAGGAACCAAGTCTGAGCTCCCTGCAGCAGGTGCTTCAATTGGCCTAACAGGACCCCGAGCACCTGCGCTGCTTCGGTTCGAACCTCATGTTTTATGCAGACCGTGCGGAAGCGAACAAACGAGTATTTGCAAAGGTCAGTGCAAACCGGAAGCAGAACATTCCGCATAAGCAGTGAGTCAGTCAAACCGCTACCCAGTCAGCCAGTCAGTCAAGCAAACCAACCAACCAGCAAATGTTCCAAAATAATCAACCAGCAAGCAACCAACGAATCAACCCACCAACCAAAGAAACAAGGCACCAACCCACCCAAAGCACAACAACCAACAAACCGACCACGAGCGCGTATGCATGTGCAACACACATACACACATAAACACACACCCACACACACACATACCTGCACATGTGACATGTCCGAACAATCGTGCGCACACATACCTTTGCATGTCTGTCTGTATGTATGTATGTATATATATATATATGTATATGTGTATAAAATGTGTGTTTCTATTTATAACTAGTTACGTACACACGCATACATGCATACGGGCATGTATGCATACATACACACTGCATGCTGACATAAAAACACACATGCCTGCAAGCAGGCGATGCGATAAGATGCATGCATACATGCATACCAGACGTGTGTCTCCACATTTGTACATACATGCACAGAAACATAGTTGAGCACATACATACGTAAATGTATACATACATGCACACATGCATGCATACATGCATACACACAGACATATCTACATACATACATACATACATACATACATACATACATACATACCCACATACCCACATACTTACATACCTACATGTATACATACATACATACATACCTACATACCCACATACTTACATACCTACATGTATACATACATACATACATACATACATACATACATACATACACACCTACATACCCACATATCTACATACCTACATACATACATATATACATACCTACATACCCACATACCTACATACCTACATACATACATACATACCTACATACCTACATACCCACATACCTACATACCTACATACATACATACATACATACATACCCACATACCCACATACCTACATACCCACATACCTACATACCTACATACCTACATACTTACCTACATACCTACATACATACATACATACATACATACATATCTACGTACATACATACATACACACATACATACATACATATATACATACCTACATACCACATTCCTACATACTTACATACCTACCTACCTACCTACCTACCTACCTACCTACCTACCTACCTACCTACATACCTAAATACATACATACATACATACATACATACACACACATACATATACAACAGACACGCACGCACAAGTACTGGGAAATGACGGCTTGCGCTCGAGAAGACCGTGCAGAGTCGCTTTCCAAGCACTTCAAGCCGAGGGCTATCTTTGAACTCACGTCCTAAGGGCTGCTCTGAGTGCGCAGTGGCTCGGCGCTTGGGCTGAGATGCCCCGGCACAAATGAGCACCTCCCTGTCAAAGGAAACATGATGTCTGAGGTGAGCATCCCACTGCTGTTGCTCTGGAGTTGCGGTTAAGTCAACACAATGCATCATACGAAGTCACGTCGGGCGAACAAGAGATGGATATCACATTGCTCTGTCTTGGGAAATCCGCCCCAGCCTTGCCTTTTGGAAATCGCAGTTTCGACCAAGGGTGAGCATGCCCAACGAAGCCCCTACCACTGCACCTCCTCGGCTTTTGATGTGCCCTGACGGTTTGGGTCAGCGGGCTTCCCCTTCTTGCATGAGCAATCTCTGCTTCTCTCTCCTCGCTGTCTCGCTCTCCTCCTTTCCCTCTCTTTTTTCTTCTCTCTTCTCTCTCTCTCTCTCTCTCTCTCTCTCTCTCTCTCTCTCTCTCTCTCCAGGGGCAGGAGAAGGAAGGCACGAAACCCCCCACCCCTCCGCGCGCGAACGCGCACCCGCAGGTCTCGGCGGGTTTTAAGCACCCCCAAGAAGGTTGCCTTCGAGGGGCTTGGGTGTGCAAGGGCCAGAGAGTGGAGTCCCCCAACAGGAAAGCTTTGCAGTACAGGCCTGATCACAACACGAGACCCCCCCTTTTGCACACATCTCAGAACTGCAGTTTACCACTTCGCAACTTCACAACCAAGCACAAGACTTACACCCCCAAAAGACTACACGTACTGTTGCAGTAAACTGAGGCTCTGGCCACCATGTGGCGCTTTCAAGGGGCTGACGTATGTTACAAAATCTTGTCCCCCCAGAACGATGGGTGGTTTGCATGATGGTGCATATCACGGCCAGATAAACTACTGCTCTCTGTTCCCCTGGTCGGAGTTCGAACCTAAACCCGCTGCAAGGGCCTAGGGGCCTAGTGTGGCCTTGGCAAGTCCCCCGAATTCCCCCCCAATGGTTGATCGAGGCTTGGAACGGTGCGTTGAAAAGAAACCGGTATTTGTGGCTACGAGCCAAGGAGTGAAGCTTACCCGAGAAGCAAGGAGTGCTTGCTGTTTAAACAATTCACACCGGAAGTTACAAAGGAGCTTGCACAGATTGTCCGCTCTCAGCATCAGCATCGTCGTCTCGTTTTTCGCTTGGTCGCCCCCCTGTTCTGGGCCTTCTGGTTGGCTTTGGCATCCCCCTCCTTCGTGTGGGTAGGCTCGCCTCGCTGAACTGAGCAGCTCAGCCACCTTCCATGAGTGTTTGGCTATGTAGAAGCGCAGCTCGGCTAAGACTCGTGGGTTCTTCGCCCCCACCAGGGCTATGAGTTTGTCCGCACGGCGGGCGGTATCCCTCCGCTCGTTGTGTCGCTGGATGTATCTCTTGTAGTCGTCGGTGTCCCCCTCGTTCAAGGGCCAGCCTGTGACATTGTTGATGTACTCCCCCGTGGCATTGTCTTGGCGTATGCTCATGCCAATCCACTTGTCCAAGGCACTGGGCTCATACAGCAAAACTCCCCCCTGTTCTGTTTCGAACCTGACGTATTCAGAAAGAGGTCGGCTCCCCACTCTTCTCGCATCATTGGCCTGTGTGGCTTCGGCTGGTGTGGCCACTGGCTCCTGGGTGTCGTCCCCCTCCAAGTTCTTGCGTAAGTCACAAGGTCGGCGCGCGCTGGTCAGCTGCCCGGTGGCGACCTGGTGCTTGTTGCACCCTTCCCCCCCGGTGTGGGGTTTGTGGTAGAACGGGCCATCCAAGCACGCTCGGCAAGTAATGCCTAAAGCTCGCAGTTTCTCAGCAAGGCGGCATTGGTCCCCCCATGTAGTGCTGGTCTTTGCCGCCTTCGTCGTG